CAACTGTAGAACGAGTGATTGGGGGCCAGCTAATACGGAATAATGTGCCGCAAATTACAAACATGAAAAGATCAGACGGATGATACTGTGTAATGCGAAGTCTGAAACATTGGAAACAGTGACTATTCATTCACGGGCGGCAATCCCGAATATTCTGACAGGAGGATATGACTCCCGAAACCCCAACTTCTAACTCTACCGCATGACAGGGTCTATCGCCTCCAATTACTGAAAGAGTTTAGGCACCAAAAACAACAGTAGACAGGGCTACTTCATTCATACATGATGAAACTCCTGGTGTTGCAAAAAAAAATCAAAGGATTCATTGTATCTAGTCGACCATCCATCTATGTACATGCAGGAATATGTAAACATGCTTAAAAACGTTTGATTTACTCGCAAAACACGGGCCCGTATTCCGACGCACCCTCTAAACAAAGCGGTCAACGCTGAGCCCTAACCCTGCGCTTTAAAACTCGAAGCTTTAAAGCCTAAACTGTCTAGACCCCGCTACGTACCTCATCCGCCGCAGGGCCGGGGCCGTCGAGTCTGCCCGTCTCAAGTTATTGGGTTCAGGGTCTAGGGATTTCAGGGTCCAGGGCTGCGAGTGATGTTTAGGTTCGTTCAGGTTTGGGGGCTCAGGGGTTGCGGATTTCGCTTTGGGGGGTGTGTGCGCCTGAAAGTAGAGAGTAGAGACGTGGCATTGTAAGGAGATCTCGGAAGGCTTGTTCCAGGAGGCTTGTTGCGCAGCATCCAAAGGCGCGGAATTTGTAGGCATCGGCTTTTGAGCCCGCTAACTGCGCTAAGGAGCCCTATCCTTAAAGGTGGAGATGCAGCCTTCATATATCAGGTCAGGGGAGACGGAGGAGGACCGAAGAGAGAGCTTCACCAGGAAGAAGGGCCGAACCCTTGGATGGATATGGGGGGGTTGGGGGGTCCGGGAAAAGGGCTGCGGGCAAGCCAAGTTGGCCAGAACTTTTGGACCCGCGCTGCGCTAGCGTTCAGCCTTTGTGATGGAGCCCCAAAAAAATGCTGCAAAGTGAGCTCCAAACTGGGGTGTGGAGGCTCTATGCTTTGACTGTGTTCCGGCACTAGAGTTGGCGCTTCCCGGCCTTTATGGCGCGACTCTGCGGGGGCGTGCAAACAGGGTTGCGACTAGTGGCCTTTGATACTTGACAGTTTTTTGATGCAGCCGCTGCTGCCTCTGCTGCTGCTGCTGCTGCTGGTGCTGATAACGGCGATGATGCAGAGTTGCCACCTCCGTCTAAACTTGAGAGCACTCACTGATGCCGACCATGATAATCATACGAGAAAGTTGCGACGACGACGCTGACGGCGCGCGCGCGGCCATCGACGGCGGAGTCAGCGGCGACGGCGAAGACCATGCCTACCACAGTGAGTTTCGTTTCCTGCTTCTCTAAGTAGACTCGCGGCTTAAGAAAGGGCAAAAACCCCACGCTCTCCGAGGCTACTTCTTCTCCATGAAGGCGGGCAGCTCTTCATCCCGGGCTCGTGGCAGTCTACGGTACATAGCCTCAGCGGTGACGAAGCGCCCTTTGCCTAGAACTCTTGCCCTGCCGGAAGCCGGACATCCCAAGCCCCGAAACCCAAAAGCCCTACAGCCTTCCGGCCCCAAACCCAAGCCTGACCCCTAAAGCTTTGCAGCTCAAACGCAAGAAAACCCGAAGCCCTATAAACCCTAAGCTCCAAGCCCGAAAGCTTCCCTGGCAGACCGTCTTCAAGTTGCCCTCCATGCTGCCGGGACCCCAGTGCAATGAGCTCCTAGTCCTCTGGGAGGGCTGAGACGTAGTACTACGATTGCATACGCATGAAGGCTGACGTGGAGTGAACTTCTGACTGAAGCTTATCGAAAAACCCTACCTTCCCTAACACCCAAGACCCTAGACAACAGCCACTTCTGTACTCAGAGCACCCCGAACTTCTAAAATCCTGCGAAGATCCCCCCCCAGTTGTCCTCCTCGACTCCTGGTGCCCCTCCGCCCAGGAAGCAGAGAGGGAGCAGCCAGGGGCCCAGCTATGACCATGGAAATCAAAGGGGACCCTTGCATTATTTGTGTTACTACTATTTAATGTACCAGTGTTTGTATCATGAATACGGCTGTGATTCTACAGGGGTTTTATCTTGGGAGATTCTTCAGCGTTCGAAAGTTGCAGCTTGTCGGGCTTTGGTGAGTCGGACTAAAGGGGGCTGTAAGGTTGGGCCTAGGACTTAGGGTTTAGGGCGTACTGTGCAGGGGGAGCTGACCGGAAATTTGCGGAGCACCGACAGCTCAGGCGCTTCGGTCGCCAGTGGATCAGAGGCTCGTCTTCTGCCGGAGCTCCTTCTTTGATCTTCTTTGAGGGTTACTATAAGGGTACCGTCTGGGCTACCATAAGGGCAATGAGGGGATACCACAAGTAGACTGTAAGGATACTACAAGGGTTTACTCTACGGGCTACTATGAGGGTGCGCGCTTTAACGCGTACTTTCCGGGCTGCTTAACTCCTGTGTTGCAAAGCCCCCAAACCCCCTCGGTCATGCTGAAATCCCCCACTCCCAGGTAGGAGTATCCTTTGCTGTGTCTTGTGAGAAGAGGGGGAGGGGGCGGGGGGCATGGACCCCCTTCATCCTGCACCCTTTGCAGTGTCTTCCTTGTCGCAAGTCCCAGGTCCTACATGAGACTTGACTTATATCCTGCTTTCTAGGCTCTGGTTTCTTTATTCATATTTTCCTTATGGCTAGTGTAGCACAGTGTCTGTAGTATACTACAATGTAGTATTATATAGTATAGTAGGTAGAACATAGCATAACATGCTGATGTCAGACTGGGGTTCAACTCCTTACATGTAAAGCCTTGAGCTCCTTCACCTAAAGCCCTAGAAGCCCTCATCCGTACACTTTCAGATTTCAGTTCACCACTCCCCCGCACGTTCTTCCCCTCGCACAAACACAGCGAGAATGGCCAACAAAAACCTCAAGGTTCTGAGATGTTTTGTGCATGCAGGCCGTTTCAACCGGCGCCCACACAACGGCTCTAACGCTTTCGGCTGGCTGCGTGATCCATGCCTGTGATGCAGCTGTTGTTGGCAGCTTCATCATCGTTTTTTGGGCACACAGCTTCCGAGTCGATGCCTTTCACAACCTTTGTCTGTGGACACACAACGGGGAAGCTGGGTTTGAGCCGCACTGAAGTTTCGGAAGCTCACGCGGTTCCGCAGCGGCCCAGGAAGCTGCCTTGCGCTCGCAGTGCTCTCAGCCTCGGACGCAAACTCATCTTCTGCTCGTTGGTTCGGCCTTGCATTTTTTCTCCACGAGCCGTGGGGACACGGTTTCCCCCAGCGTCCAATGACGTACCGACACTGCGATTTCGCATCTTCGTGTCCTGCTCGAAACTGTGTGGGGTTTGAAAGCAGGTTGTCTGCAAAGGAGACCCACTCGCCTGCCTGGTAGACGAAGCCGTGGTACTGCGCTGCCTTGGAACATTGCAAGATCCCCATTCTGTGCCGTGTGCTGTGAGAAGCATGCTTGTGCTGCGGCTCTGTGGTGTCATCATCTTGTGAAGTTGTCCCACTGTGCGGTTCCATTGCACATTGCCCTTCTTCCAAGCTCATAGCTGTAGCTGTAATTGGCAGCTTCATCGTTGTCTTATGGGCGAGCCATAAAAACTACAGCGACACACGCAACCACCACATGCTCCTTACCTCCTGTACGAATGTTCCGGGCCTCTGTCGTGGCACGCGCCCGTATGTCATCGCGGTTCAGCCTGTGTTTGATATGGTTCTTGCAGGGATTGATGAGCGTCTGGGCCCCATCACTCCGGCCTTTTAGGAAGCCCGTTGCAACTGCAGCAGCTCGCCGATGTTCTTTTGGTGCGTCTGCTGCTGCATGTAGCTTCCGAACCTAGTCGGTGCCTTTCTTCCAATCCTTGTTAGTGGACCTGCAACCAGATGCTTGCCAGAGCCACACAACAAGTACTGCGGCAAACTGTTTGATACCGGAAGGATGCTTCTGCTTTAGGCAGATGCGCTCTGGTTGCCAGTGCTTGGAGAGGAAGCTGGGCTTGCCCACGAGCCACCAGCAAGACATTGATCGACACAAGGCTGTGCGGAAGTTCACGCCATTTCACGCCATTGACTTATCTGATTGCCCGGAAAGAAGGTGTGTGGGTCACATGCTCTGCTGGTTTGAGCATGTTGCTCGCAGTGGTATGACGTCTGGTCACGCCCTAAACCTACACCTTCCATACCTTTCTGCTGAAGTGGCAAAAAAAAGAGAGACAGAGTCTGAAACTCGTTCAGCTTTCAGCCTTGAGGTGTGAGTCCTCCGTTCTAAGCCCTTGGGAAGTTTTGCCATGGCGGAGGTGTATCAAGAAGTTCAACTGCCCGGGACGAGGAAGATCCTTCAGGTGGCGACAGGCTCAGGGTTGTGCGTGTCTCTGTGTGTGTGCGCCTCTCTCAAGCTTGAGCTTTGAACTTCGAGTCGTGCGCAGAATCACTGAAATTCGCAGCCCTTTTGGCTATAGATGCCTTCCCAGGAGCAGTGCGATCTCCGAAAGCAAAAAGCCCGCTTGAATGTCGCCCCAGGAGGCCAAAGTAGCTCCGGCCAGTGCGGAGGCCACAAAATGGAGGCCCTACGAAAACTGCCGCCATGGGTGCCCACTGCTGAGCCTCATGCCTCCGGTCGTGGACCCCGTAACCGAGCTGTGGTGGGCCGCACGATGGCGTGCCGCCTGGCCCCTGCACCGCCGTGTGCCCGGGACTTGCTGGACCTTCGGAGAGGCGATGTTCCTGCCCATCATCTGCTGCGCTGCTGTTGTGTTTGGTGCCAGGATGTGGGGCGACGTGGAGCGCAGTGGATACCCGGCCACCTTCTTGGGAGCCTTGACCTACGCGACGGCATGCCGCAATTCCATCCTGACACTGCTGACTGGGGTTCCCTTTGAGAGGGCCATCTTCTACCACAAGTGCATCGCGGTGCTGGCCATCCTTGCGGCATGCTACCACGGCTACGTTGCACTTAGCTTCCCAGTAGACGTGAGCCATGCAGCTATCGGCACGGAGCAGTTCACGTGGAGTGTGCTGGGTGAGGGCAGGAACTGGAGCGGTATAGCTATTTTTGCGTGTTGGGTCTCTGCCACTCTGGTCGCGCTTGTGTGGATAAGGCGCTACCTTTTTGAGATCTTCAACCGTTTGCACATTGTCGCAGCCATGGTCGGCTTGGTCTTTGCGGCCCAACATGGTGCCACGACCACCCTCGCGGGTGGAGCCTTGTGGGCCTTGGACAAGGTCCTTTCTCTGCTCTTCTCCCTGGCGAAGATGAACAAGGCTCAGACTCACAAGGCCACGGCTCGTGTGTTGCCTGCCGATTTGGTAGAGATCTCCTTCCCGCGGGGCAGTTTCAAGTACAAAGGCGGCCAGTGGTGCAATGTCTGGGTACCGAACCTGGGGCTGCAGTGGCACCCCTTCAGTCTCAGCTCAAGCCCTCACGATCCGGAGGCGGGGGCCGATTTTTTTGATGGTTTGGCAACAGCAAGATGGAGATGTTCGTCTGTTGTGTCTTGTTTCTTTCTTGGTAGAAATAACAAGGGCACAGGATGTAGCAGCTGTAGCAAACCCCGCAGGTGACCTTCCACATCCGTGCTCTGGGAGGCTGGACGAAAAGCCTTGTCCGCAGCTTGAAAGAGGTGGAAGCCGGCTCTCCAGTGTCTCTTCCGATCTATGTCGACGGTCCCTTTGGTTCCGTGGGCCTGGACATAGATGGACCCACCTACAAGTCCTTCCTGCTTGTTGGCGGTGGCATTGGCGTTACCCCATTGCGGAGCATTTGGGGTGAGTTGTTGGACCAGGCTGCCCGTGGCCGAGCTTTCGGCAAGCTTCGTCTCCTGTGGTCCGTCTCTGACTCTGCGATGCTGGAGGGGCTCGGCGTCCCAGGGCCAAAGGGAGAAACGGATGCCCAGGTGGAGATCTTCCTCACGCGCGAAGAGGTCCTCCAGGGCGAGAGGCGAGCGGCGATCGGCGATGTGATGCAACAGGTGGTGCTTGGGAGTCGTCCGGATCTCAACAAATCTTTCGATGAGATGCGACAGCATTGCGAGAAGGCCTCGGAGAAGCGTGTGGCTGTGCTTGCTTGCGGTCCCACGAGTCTGATCAAGGCCACACAGCAGGCGTGTCTGAAGCACTCCCACGGAGGCATCCGCTTCGATCTCCACTCTGAAACGTTTGAGTTCTGAGCACGGCAGCCGGATTTACGGTGCTCTCCCACACCATCGGCTCTGCGACGTTGGAGCCTTGCCAGTGTTTTTTTCAAAGGCGTCGGACCACTGCAGAACTGCAGGCGGACGCCATTCAGCCTGTTTTGGTTGTGGTCATTGAATTGTGTTGGGTTCACTCGCCACTCAGTTCTGACCGCTTTTGACTCAGCCACGTTGTATAGGTTGTGGTCATTGAACTGCGTTGGGTCCGTTGGGTTCACTCACGGCTCAGTTCTGACCGCTCTCGGCGGAGACCCCTGAACGTCGGCCCCTAAAGTGGCGCTGATGTCCGAGTTGTGAGAGCCTAAAGTGGCGCAGACCCAGACCATCAGAGATCATCCCTGACGTTCCAAAAAGGGTGCCCTGCCGTCAAGGAGTTTCCGTAGGTCCAGGAAGTAGCGCTCCCTGGCCTTCATTGACATATATATATATACATATATATATATATATTTATATTTATATTTATTTATTTATTTAGTCAGTTTATGAGACAGCCATCCCGACGAGACCTTTTTGAGAGATGGGCTCAGCAAACGAAAAAGTTTCCTGGGCGGTCTGCGGTGATGGTGATGAGAGTAATAACCATACGCTGTGAAGTATCAGAACGTCAGCTAGAAAAGGGTCACCAGCATTATTCTGAGAAGAGGGCCCCAACTCACAAAGCTCTCAACTTCGAGCTCTTGAGGTTTGCCATCCGTGAGAAGCGGCAAAACTTCTTCGACATCGAAGTCAACGAAGTGTGCCTCGCTGAGAGTTCCTGGGTCCGGGTTCCGGTCTTCTGAAGCCCTCGGGCCGGGCTTATGTTGCCTTGATATAACCTTCTGTACAAATAGACAAGATACTCTGCATATACTATGATATACGTTGTTCAGACCCTAACCCTAAACCCCTAAACCCTAGGCCCGAACCCTAGACCCCTAAACCCCTAAACCCTAAATCCTAAATCCCTAAACCCCTAAACCCCGTATACCCTAAGCCCTGAACCCTTAAACCCTAAACCCGATGCCACCGCCATAGCAACAGCTATGCCGTCATCGCAGCAAGCATCACCACATTGTAATCAACATCATTGCTCCTCTTATTTCGAAATTCCGGTCTCGGCCGTCGCCTGAGGCCCTGCGCAGACTCTGCGAAGCAGGACCTTTGCGTTGGGTTTGAAGCTCCGGCTGCTGAGGTTACATTGCAATCATCGGAAGTAATATGGTCTAGGGCCTAGGGGGTAGGGTATCCAGAGTTCGAAGCCGCTGCGTGCCGATTCTTCTTCAGCTGTCCTTGACACTCTTGGACGGCTGCCTTCGTCGTCGAAGACGCCAGTGCCCCGTTGCCCCACCGACGCTGTTTCGGGTTTAGGGTTGAGGGGTTTAGGGTTTAGGGTTTAGGCTGTGCTTGAGGTGTATGGGGTATTGTTCCTAGGGGCTCACGGTACGGTCTTATGGGTTTCTGCAACTTCGGCTGTGAGGCTTCGTGTGGCGACAGCTTGACAAACCCTGAACCTTAAACCTGCAGCCCGAAACACTCGGCCCTAAATTGGCTCCTATGTTCAATCCCTTCCTTTCAACTGTCAGTGCTTCGGGCTTGGACAGGCCTATTGCGCAGTCCGCAAATGGGGTTGCCTCCCCTGGCCGTCGTTTTCCTGCTGCTTTGGTTCTTGCTTCGAGCATAGCTTGGATGATCCGAGGCCTTGTGCCCCAAGCCCTAAGCGTGAATCCCAAACGAAAACTCGACAGAAGCCTGAGAGAGACAAAACCAGAGTGCCTACATGAAGATCGTCATGGGCCTGACATCCAAAGTTTGCGTAGTCCCCACTGTGTGAGCTTTCTTTCTTCTGGTGTAGTCTTGTCGTCGCATGACAGGATCGGTCATTGTAGTCCTCTCCTACCTCTGGGAGTCTTGCGTGTTTCAGACGACGACAAACGCCACCGCCCAAGAGACCCGGTTCAGTCTTTGCGGTGTTTGGGGGCTAGTTAAGGCTGAGAGGTGCCAGACTGTCGAGTTGCAGTCTCGTGGGCTCTTCAACGGCGGACTTTGCAGCTTGGGGAATGGGGCGAAGGCTTCCGAACCTGATTGGTTACACTCGAAACTCTCTATAAGCACGAAACCCAGGACCCTTAGCCTTAACGTTGGCACTTCATGTCTACTCTGGTCGGCAAGGACTTTTCCCTGGAGGAGTGCAGCCGCCTCATGGATTGCGTGGGCCTCGCCTTTCGCGGGCCTTGCTCTTGGGTTCGAGGACCCTGTACCCTAGAGTTCAGCAGTGGTGCCTGGCAGACAACCTGAGGCTACCCGGCATTGCAGGGAAAGGTCGTGGGTGATGGTGGCTTCAGAATTTGGTTTGGCTTGTCTATCCTTGTGAAGAACGAAAGCTGCTTGGGAAAGGGTGCCCTGAAGTAATTAACAGGTGGCTGTGATGGTTTCACTTTTAAATATATGAAGTTCTTCCAACTATCATCCCTTGATGGATCGCCAAGCGCTAGGGAGCTTGGGCCAGATATTACTTCAGCTCAACACCTGCCGTTCTGATCCGTCCGTCAAAAGGCCCTATTCGACTCATGGGTCCCCGCCCCGGACTTCGAGGCTTTGCATCAGAGCTGCGGATACAGACCTTCATCAGCCGGAGTCATCTGTGGGGACCTCAGAAAGCGATCAGCACCTCGGATGGATTTCGGCATTGGCCAGGCCAAGGGCTTTAAGTTTGACAACGGTGCGTCCAACCTTTCCAGGTAGTCATTTCGGCCAAGGGTTCCGGTCCTCCTCGCCCGAGCAGTCTAAGGTGGATCTTGATCGCCTTCAAACTCTACAACCTATCAGCTCTTGCCCACCCAGTGGTCCCAGGGCGGTGAACCGTAGCGCCCCAGGGGCGAATGCCGCCGACTCTTTCTTTGACAAGCAGGCTCGCGGAATCGAGGGCTAAGTTGGCCAGGGGCTGTCTCTGAAGAGCTGGTTCAAGTCGGCCTGTTCTGGAAGCCTTCGACATTGGATGATCTGGACTTCAGGTTGATGCTTCAGGAGCTTAACGGGATCAGCTTTCCCGTTTTCGGGTTTCTGGATGTTGCATGCTGGTTTTACAACGGTCCAAGATCTTCTTCCGTTTGGCAAAAGCAGCTGCGCCACAGCCATCATCATCGTCACGACATCACCACCGGTCAAACACCATCGTAGCGGCCATCGCCTGGGTGATTGCCATGCCTGCCTTCACCTCTTCCTTCCCCTCCTCGCCGCAATTTCGAAGCATCAACGGACTAGCATGATTCCGTTGTGAATGATAGAACTCTCTAGGCTTGCATGGACCGTTTGGATTCTGAGCCGGAGCCGCGAAAGGCAACAACCATGAGATCGAAACCAGCGACCACTAACAGCCAATTCGTTCTTATCGAGCGGTCAAGAGCTGCCCCATCAGCCTCATTCCTTGGGAAGTTGAGTCCTTTCGGCGGAAAGGAACACTTGAGAACACTACAGTCACATTTATCCCAGGAGCTGCTTGTCCTGTGAGACCGTTGAAGCAGAACCCTATGAAATCGCAGGTAGTCGTCTCCTGCGCGATGTTTGTCACGCCATCCCTGACACAGCGGTCGCTTCCCCGGAGCCTGAGACAGGTTTCAGTGTGCAGGGCGGGTTCGAGGTTTGAGGTTTCCAGGGGGCAAAGGTTTCAGCACAAATAATCATGCAAGTGCTCGGAGGTTCCTTGTGCAGATGTGTCGAAAGGCTTTCCACGATGGCAGATCATGGCCGACTTTGAAGTGCGGCCTCACCTGCAGGTAAGATTTTCCCTCTCAAGCTTCAATTGGATATGTGAGATCCTAGCATCGGGAGCTGCCATGCCGATCTCGTCGAAAGAGGAGGGCTCGGAAATGGAGGAGGACTCTGAGGCAGAGGAGGAGACCGTGGACGAGCTCCTACGAAAGATGGCGGAGCAGCCCGCAGACTCTGCGCTGCAGCTGAGAGGGCTGAAAGCGATGCAGGGGGGCTCCTGGGCAGACCCGCACCTGGCAGCGGCCGCCATCGTCGCCGCCATGCAAGCCCACCCGGAAGATCGGGCCTTGCAGCTCGAAGCCTGCCGAGCTGCGCTCGCCCACATCTTGGAGAAGCGGGAGGAGGCGGAGATAATGCAGCGGGCAGTTAGTCTGATGGAGCACGGGCTCATCGCGCCCGTGCGAGGGGCCATTCGACACCACTCGCATGACCATCGTCTCTTCGACGCGGCCGCGGAAGTCCTTTTTTGGATGTATGTGAGTGCAACCCAGCGCAACAACCACATCGCCAGCCAGGCCTTGCTTCGGGATGAAGATGCTGCCATAGTGGCACTTCTTTTGGCCCGCCTGCAGAGTCTTGCCGAGGCTCCAGATCCGCTCGAAGCGGCCGCTTCTGCTCAGATTATTGCGAAGCTGTTGACATGCTATTGCCGGGGTGGCCCAGAGGCCAAGCGGGCTGTGGCGGCTGCCGGTGCCGCGCCGAAAGTGCTCTCCTGCCTGGAGGTGCTGCAGGAGTCCGTGGGATTTCAACTTTGCGGCTGCAACCTCCTCGCCAACCTGGCCACCGGGCCACCGGAGGTGAAGGAAGAGCTGCTACGAGCCGGTGCCGTGGGCGGCCTGGGAGCCGCCCTGCAGCGCGCTCTGGCCGTCGAGGGATTACTTGGCGATATGGGCCTTAGCCGCTGCTGCACGGCGTTGGGCAGCTTGGGCAGTGGCATCTCGGAGGATCTGCGCCACAAGCTGCAAGACCCCGAAGCCATCGATGCAGTCTGTCGGGTGCTCCGCGAAGACCGAAGCGACAGAGAGACCCGTTTGTCCGCCGTGGCATACCTTCTGCGGCTGGCCGAGCTGCCAACTGCACGGCCCATCCTCGCAGAGGCGGAGGCCGGCGGCGGCGGCGCTTGCCTATTTCCCCGCCGACCTGGTCTCCCAGAAGGTCGAGTTGACTGAGGTGCCGGGTGAGGATTGCCAGCCGCTGCTGGAGGCAGCCGCAAGCCGCAGAGTCACAGT